TGATAAATATGAACTATGACGACGATGTTTTTTAACATTACGTGCTGGTTTAGTAGGTGTTTCATTTTTTGTATGTGTTTCATCTGCACTTTGATCAATAGACTAAAACAAACAAGAAAAAACAGCTACTCTATAATAATAATCCAATATTATACGTTCATCTCTTACAATACATCAGTCCTAATAACGATGAATTTAAACCGAAATTCTACTGCATCCAAAGGCACATCCTATTATATCTTCTCATACAGCACACCTTCTCTCTCTGCTTTCGTTTATGATATATTATATGTTACTGGAGTTTTCTCTGTGCAACCCTAATCGCGCAACCGATAAAAACCATCAGACAAAATTGGAACACAACTAATCCTATAAATTAGAGACAACATTATATAGTTAAGAATAGTAAGAGTATGAGATTATTGTGTATTAGATTCAGCGAGATGCATTATTTAGGCTATTAACTGAACGATATTAACCGATGATAAATCAATATCTACTCTACTCTAATTCCCTAGACTGAAGGGATAGGGTCTAGAAACCGGAATTGTCGGTAACATGGCACAAGTGATCATTTTTTGGCACAAACGACCATTTTTTTAGCACAAGTGACCATTTTTTTGGCACAAACGACTATTTTTTTGGCACAAGTGACCATTTTTTTGGCACAAACGGCCACGTAACTATGGCACAGGTGACCATATAGCAACTATGGTACAAACAACTATTCCGGTAACTATGGTACAAATGACCATCTAAAGACTGATGTAAATGAACCCATAATAATCATGGGTAAAATGTCAATGGAATAACTATAATTCGGGTAGTGGTGTAAAACGGCTTACAAAAGCATTTAATTAGTGAGAGTCAGACCAAATGAGCAGTATGGATTTTAAAAAAATTGTTTAAATTATTCATTATTGTAGGATTGATTGTGCAATGTTGTATCAATGAATATCTAATTTATTAATAGTTTAGAATTAATGCGCGAATTTAAGCATAAAATATTGATTAATAAAACACAAATTTTATGAATGATATAATTCATATTTTTGTACGTACAAATAGCGCCAAGATAATTACAAAAGAATCGAATTCTTGTCTAATCTTATTGGGCGCTATTTATATTTATAAAAGCAAAAAAGAAATAAAACAAAAACGATAAAAAAAATAAAATTTGTAAATGCATCATCTTTACTTAGAGTGAGAATTCTCCAAATTAAGTTTTCTGGTCGCCTAAGATATACTGGTAATATTATCAATTTTGCGTATTACTTTTTCAATGTAGCTTTTTATGTTATTACATCCGTACATGTATTCTATCAGTCTATGGCTAAGTGAATCGCTTGACGATGAACGTTACTTGTTTCTGTCTGATGAGCAAATGACTGAATTCTAAGACAAAGAAAAACTAAAGCGAAGTAAATAAAATATAGTTTGATTGTATTCTACTTTTTTTGCATGGATCTATCTAAGTTTGAACTGCAGGGAAAAGTAGATTACTTACAGTTGGATCTATTCCTGTTGGAACTTTTTGACTCATGTTCAATGATTGTAGACAAATACAGCGACTGAGAATGTGAAAGAAAAAAAACAATTTAGAAAGGTATTTATATATATATAGATAAATTGATAGATGTAATGTAATGGTCGATCAACACGTCTTTCATGGCGGACGGCTGTATATTTTTTCTTTTTTTTGTTCTTTTTTTGTTCAGTATATGTGTAAAATGTCAACATATTAGAAAAACAATATGACTGTTCGACGTTGAATTTAGTCAAATAAATTTTTTTTTCAAGTATTAGCAGCGAACAACAAATGAATAAAGTTTTGAATTTATCATAATCTAGAGTAGAAAACTTCTATGATTCTTAATAATGTCATTTTTGAATTTGTGTTTTTTTTTCTCTTCAGCTACTTTATTCTGCTCATGATGAGTGGCATAAGATAGAGAAATGAGTTATAAGTAGGGGTGTCAATTTACATTTACGTTTCATTTAATTTACGCGTAAATTAAATAATAAGTAATTTATATTTATTATAAATGTAAATTATTTTGTTGCAAAATTTACATTTACAAATAAATGTAAATTATCATAATTTACATTTATTCGTAAATATAAATTACTTATCATTTAATTTACGCGTAAATTAAATGAAACGTAAATTTAAATCGGCACCCCATACCACAACCAAAAATCAATGGCGG